CAGTATGTCTACTTTAATGTTTCTTAAAGAGCTGGAGGCATTGCTAGTTTACTGCAAAATATGATTCTTCAGAGGATCAAAAAAATATGATGATGCTTTCCAGGTATTCTTCCTCAAGCACAAGTCAAGATCAAGGGGGAAATGAAGCAGGTAGGAACTCAATAACTGAGCCTCCCACAAGAGGAACAAGGTAGGGGACTGCATCCTCAAAAGATCTTCATGCTAAGGCCATCTGACAGCAGAACAGGGATAGGTGGAGGACAGACAAGTCTCCAGCTATACTTCTCCTGACCAGCCTTGTAAGCCTCTTCCCTTCCATTTGTTGCTGCAGGGCCACAAAGTCTGGATTAGTGCAAATTAGAGGGCCTATCAATCAAACCCAAGCAATGTCATGCCTTGTAAGCAGGACAGTGGAACTGGAAAATGATGGATCAAAATTGGTGACTAGAAATTAGGCCTAATGGGTGGGCAAAATAAGATAGGAGAAGATGGCTTATTCCACTCACCCCCTTTTGAGGTACATAAAGAGAGATTTTAGGGATCAAAATGGACTCAGGGATTCCGCAGGAAAGGCTGGCAGGCCTCTGCTTCACTCAAGACTATGTCCTTCAATGGTGAGATGCGAGGGTCATCTGACACCCAGAGCTCAAGACACTATTTGGGATATCTAACCAGCACTACTGGACCAATGGGAAACACGGACTGATACATATGAGATTCTCCTCTGTCCTTCCTTCCCTTGTGTACTGCCTATGGTCAAGCCCTTAGGCACAACTACATCTGCTCTAATCCCACTGACAGAGACCAGAAGCTTCAAGATCCTCTACCAACCATTTGTAAATCTAAATTACCCACCGGGGGGGAATAAAAAAAACAAACTGAAAGAGCCACACGAATACCCAGAAACCATCTACTTGAAGATAGGCCCAAGAAAACCAACAATAGAATACCACTTGTCATCACCTATAGCCCCCAACTTAAACCCCTCCATCGCATTATCAATAACCTACAACCTATACTGGAACACTCCAAGAGGCTCTGGGGGACAGACCCACAGTCTCCTATAGACAACCACCTAAGCTCAGGAAGATTCTTACCAACAACCACAGGACATACCACATTAATACCAATCCTGGAACTTTCCCTTACAACAAACCCCGTTGCCAACTTTGTCCACATATTTACTCTGGTGACACCATCACTAGACCTAACCATGTCAGTTATATGATCAAGAACACATATTCCTGTTCATCCAGATATATAATTTATGCTATCATTTGCCAACAGTGTCCTTCTGCTATGTATATTGGACAGACTTCTCAGACACTTCACCAAAGAATTAATGCCCACAAATCAGACATCACAAGGAAAAACCAGTTGCTTTTCATTTCAACCTACCTGGACATAGTCTTAACGACCTTACTACATGCATCTTACTTCAAAGAGACTAACACCAGATTACAGAGGGAAACTTCAGAACTTTCTCTAATGCTTAAATCTGATACTTTGTGAATTTTACAAATGGGCCTTAACAAAGATGCTTATTACCTTAACCATTACAAAGATAGCTTCCTCACTTATCACACCTGATTAAGCCATTCATTGAATCAAATAGCTATTCCCTCCCACCCTCACCCCACCTTCTGTACTAAATCTGATTTGTCAGTTTAATAATGTGTTCACTTATTTCACTGTATTCCTTTGGTATATATGGTCATGCCAATTCTCTTCCACTGTTTGATCTGGGGAAGTGGGTCTGGCCCACGAAAGCTCATCACCTATTAAACCATCTTGTTAGTCTTTAAAGTGCTACATAGTTTTTCCTTGTGTGTGTTCCTGTCTGTCCTGTCTTCCTCCAATCATCTCTCCCCATCAGCTTTTCTTCCGAACCTGAGACCAACTGCACCAGCACAATGGAGTAAGACAGCCCATCCAGTCCCTCCTAGCCTGAGACAGACTGGTGAAAGAAAAACCTGACTTGGGTTGCCAGCTGTCTAATCATAACCCATGCCATGCCCCTTCTTAATGCCCCCCCACTTCATCCTCCCCCCCCACCCTATTACTTGCTTCCCCCACCCTCACTCACTCACTCTTCCTGGTCTGCGGCATGGGGGGTGGGGTACAGGAGGGGCCCCATGCTGGGGTAGGAGTGCAAGCTCTCAGAGGGAGTTTGGGTATAGGATGGGGCTCAGGAGTGGAGGTAAAGGTGCTGGGGTGAAGGCTATGGCCAGGCAGCACTTACTTTGGGTGACAACGCAGTGGGGCTTGCCTGCTCTGGCCCCATGCCACTCCTGGAAGTGGCCAGCATGTCTAGCTCCTAGGCTGGGGGAAGGGTGGCTCAGAGTGTTGCTGGCACCCACAGACATGGCTCCCGCAACTCCCACTGTCTGTGGTTCCCAGCCAATGGGAGCTGTGGAGTCAGTGCAACTGTAAGCCAAGGGGGGCCAAACACAACTTCTTTGGAGGTCCAAAGATCAGCCTTTAGTCAACCATGTCATTCAACCTTCTACAAGCTGAGCTCACTGCATCTGAAGCATTTTTGGGCGGCAACAACTCATTATCAAAAAGGTAGGTCAGAATATTCAACCAAGATCTCCCATGGTGGCAACAGAGGCAATCGTTTCAAGTCTCTGATCTCCTAAAAATCCAAAGTCAATCCTTTGCTCCCACTTTTGAGATGTAACTGAATTAAAGACTGATACAATTACTGATTTAGAAATGTTGAAAGAACATTATTCTGATTAAAAGCCTCCTGCATGAGTTAATTTTTATTGTATTTTGTAAACCTACTCCATTCTTGGCACAGATTAAGCATTTACTATCAAACAAGTGCATCAAACACACAAAACACTAGGCCATACAAATGCAGCCACATTTAACCCCTCCTTCCCTAAAAAAAGAAGTGTTAAATATTTAAGAAATTACTGCAATTCTTTAGTCATCAAAAATGTTATAAACTGGTATTATTGTACTGGGGACATTTGAGGTCACTGAGTAAGAGAGCTGTCTCCTAACTTTGCCAACAATAAAAAAAATTTTCCTAACAGGAAGAAGTTTGCAGCATAGAGCCTGTTACATAAATTCCTGTTTTTCACACACAGCCAGCATAGCATTAAAGAAGCTACGATTTACTAACTTGGAAAAAGTGTTCAAGAGGTAAATCTTGTAAAAATATGCACTGCTGTTAATGATGTTGTGTCTACAAACCTTTGCCAGACACAAACATGACTGATAAAAAGTATAGTTTGAACAACGGAACTTGGCAGCAAGATGAACGAAGTGTGGTAGTCAACAGGCATTCGTTTCTGAACCACCGATCAAGCTCCTGTATATAGCTTTTTCTGCTGCCTATCACTTAAACTGTTTTTTTTATTTAATTTGAAGCAAAGCCTTTAAATTTGATTTGAAAGACACGAAATGCAAATGTTATTTAAACTGATTTTATGTGCACAAGCTAAGAATGCCAGTTCAATTTCAAAGCATATGATCTGGAATTTTAACAATAGCTAATAATTAATATGGTCAGTCTGCTGTCACCTGTAGGGTGCTCCTTGGGATTGACTCTATATTTGTGACCCTAAAAGAAAATTAACGAAGCCTTTAATACTATGTGACCTTTGGGGGGGAGGGGGGGAGAGAAACTGGCTCAGTTATATTTCAGTTAAGAGATCATTGTTCTGACTGTGCTTTCCATTATTTACTAAATTGGGAGTCAAAATGTACAAATGTAATTAACAAATACAGTACTAATTTTGTAATAAGCCAATAGCTAATAAAATGTAGGAGAATCCATGGAAGTATTTGTTTTTGTCAATGCACATTTTTTCATCTGTAACTGATTTCAACTAATTTGAAAATGAAGAAAAAAATCTCAATCTCCCCTTTTCCCTGTGTCACACTGAGTTTAGTTGCTAATATAATGAATGTAAGGCAAGGATATAGCGCTCTATTAAACAAAAAGAAGCAATCAAAATTAATTGGCATATGCCTGAAAACCATATCTTTCTTCATTTTCCTGGCTTTTCTAGGGGGGAAATACCTGATTTTTTGGAATAGTTTTCACACTGTTTACAAAGTAAACCGTTCTCGCAAGTCATATTTTTTGTTAACTGGGTGGAGGGACATTTGTGAAAACATCTCCATTATAGTAAATCCAGATTAATAAATATGGATAAGGCTTAAGTGACATATGTACAGTTAGGATGGTTTTATTTTCTCCATACAGAAAGAGGGTGCAAACGTGGGACTGAGAAGTGGGAAAGATAGGCAACTTACCCTATAATAACTGTGGCTCTCCAAGATGTTGTCAATGTGCATCTCACTACAGGCACACCTGCACCCCACATGCATAACATTTACATGTTTTGAACACCACTGCCCATGAGAGTTGTGCATATTCCTTTTGCCACCTCATGACTTCTTACAAGTCCATAGAGGGTGAGGCAGCCACAATCCTTCCTCAGATCCCTTAACTGTCAGTGGCCTGGCCAGGCATGTCGCTGGGGAGAGTGATCTCTTCCTGTTCCTATCGTGCAGTGGAGATTGTCTGCTAGAGGAATGTGAAGGGCAAATACATCTTGCAGGGCCCTGGCAACGTGCCATAAGGATATGTCCGGTTTGTTTGATATTCGACAATCAGTGCTGTTCCTGCTGGGGCAGCAGCTGAGCCCCGTAGAGAGCCCCCTGGTCTTTCAGTGGTGTCCCCTGTGGATCTCAGATGAGAGGGTTCTTTGCTCAAAGGAAGTGTGCACATACACCTTGGTGATGGAAAGAAAGAGCAGATTTCCTCCTGAGTTAGCACTAATGTAATGCAGTGCTCTTAGAACCAGGGTCTGCATTGGGACAAGTAAATGCCTCTGTACCAAAACACAACCCCAATAAGGGCACATCAAGAAGCCTAGAGTCCAATGTAGGCATCGATGCCCCATTGCTGGATCACTGGTACCGGGGTTTGGAGTTTGACACATTTTTCTGTCCTGCAGACCACTCTGTATCGCCAGCTCACCAGGCCACCTGGGGCTTAGTGGTTCTCTGTGGTGAGGCCTTAAAACAATGAACTATGCGTGAAGAAACTGAGTGACATCTGGATTCTTTGCCAAGGTGTTCACAGTGGCTTCCACTGGTGCTGGACTTCATTAGTGGAGCTGTCAGTATCTACTTTGGTGCTGGTGTGGTCTTCTCTGCCAGTGGATTCTGTTTCAGATGGTCTCAGTGCTAACACTGGTTTTAGGTGACATGTCTCAAAATCGTTCCAGTGAATTTTGATGGTGCTGGAACACTTTTTATAGTGTTTGTGCTATGAGACATTAAACAGCACTGGAAACCCTGTATATGATGGAAACTGCTTCATGCTGGGGCTGCAGCGGGATCCCCATCACACCTAGTTCTAGCAATGTTGTTCCAACCTCAGCCCTGATGACTTACATTCTTACTGAGAACAACAAAGCCTATTGAGCATATACTCATTATATGGGACTCTTCCAGACAAGTATCTGCTGAGCTAATTTTTCAGTGGGATTATTGCATCATAGGAAAGATAGGGGCAGGGCTTGGAGCAATGTGCTTAGAATTTGCCAGGTTGAAGTATCCTATAAAGAAAGTCATGTCAGAGAGTGAGAGAGCCCCAACCTCCTATTTTTAAAAAACAAGTAGTCCCTTCAGATGAGACTGAGGGGATCTATTTTTAGTTTAGGCACATCAAATTCATTCGCAGAAGTTCTTCAAAGATGAAATATGGGTTGAAGACATCTGGGAAGATGTAGTTGAGGCTACAGACTAGCAGGACAGACACTTTCTGGCTTCTGTATCGCTCCTGTGTTTAGTAAGAAGGAACTGAGAGTCACAGCTGCCTAATTCTTTAGGCCTCGCACAGAAGCGCAAGGAGGCAGAAAGTGCGTGAACATCCTCAAGAAGCACTTTTAAAAAGACTGATCTTGCATACATGTGCCCCTACCGTGGCTCTATAGTGACAATATATTCTATATAAGACTTCTAATTCCACATCTGCCACTAACTCATTGGGGGGCAATGGGCAGGTAACACAGAAACCTTTCTATCACCAGTTTTCCAATTTGTAAAATGAGGTTGATAACATTTTCCTATTTGCCTCACAGGGGGTGAGGAAAGGATCAGTGCAAACACTCTAGAACTGTACAGCATTATATAAATGTTATGTATAACAATAACAATCTAGAATGTAGACACCTGCAAATACACAGAAAGGAATAGTAATGCATCCATCACAAACTGAGGCTGACAGAACTCTGCTATCCCATCATACTTATATAACATCTATTTCTAGTAGAGCCACTATCAATGTATATAGCTCAGCAGTTCTCAAAGTATGTGTCCGTACCCAAAAGCGGGTTACGACTCTGCTTTAATGGGGTCACCAAGGCTGGTGTTAGACTTGCCGGAGCCTGGGGCCGAAGCCCAAACCCAAAGCTTGAGTCCCACATCCCAATGCCGAGGGCTAAAGTTGAAGCCCCAGGGTGGCAGGGTTCAGAGTCACAGGCCCCATCCTTAGGGTTGCAGCCTTTGTGCTTCAGATTTTCTCACCACTGCTCAGGGTGGTGGTGCTCAGGCAGGCTCAGATTTTGGTCTGTCCTCCTGGAGTCATGTAGTAACTTTGTTTTCAGAAGAGGCTGCAGTACAGTGAAGTGTGGGAACCCTCGATGTGTAGATCATCTAAATGACTGCCCATATAACTATTCTTTGTATACAAAGGATTCCCTGCTTCATAGTGAGTGCAATATGAAGGTACTTACTAACATACCTTTTACATTTAATGAGAATAAGATTGTGCTGGAGGTAATGTAACACAGGACATTGATAATTATTTGCAGTGAAAAGTGCTGTAGTGATCATTAAAGACTTTGTGAGATCTAGAAAGGCTGTCCCTCCACTAAAAAGTTCAGCCTACATTTCCTGTGAAAGGATACTACCATAAATTAATAAAGTAGTAGAAAAATGATCCAATGCCAGAATCCCTAGAAATCATTTTAAAATATCACTCCATGACTATTATAGGAGACTAATGGGTGTGGTTTTGTTTTGACTAGGACAGAAATGTTAATCACTAATTTCCTGTTTAACAGACAGCCTATTTCACATTTACCACTCTCTCCAGTTACACCCAAGTCATCACAAATTGAGAGTGGTGCTGTTTATAGAAAAACTGTTCTCTCTTAAATAAAAGGCAGCTTAAAGTGTTTTAGCTACAATTAACATGCAGGACTTAATGTGAACTAAATGTATCAATTCTATTTGACTACCAAGGACTCAAAGTACTAGAAACACCCTCCCACCCACAAGATGCAAGAGTGGGAGGCTAGTCTGAACGTATGCCCATAAAACAAGAAATACTGAAATCTGAAAATAAAATGTTATTACCCTGTCTTACCCTAGGCTAAGTTAACACTAATAGGGCTTTCAGGAAAGGAAAATAATAGGGATTAAAAACCAGGCCATCACATTAGGACATTAGGAGTAAATGCTAGAAATATACAAGTCTTTGTTTGGGCGCTCATATTAGGTGAAAGGTAACTATCTGTTATAAAGACTGATGCAGTAGCTTGTAATCTCTCTGTACAGACAAAGCCTTATGGGGTCTTTAGGCTGCCTAGGTTGGAAGTCAAACATTTTTTTTTTAGGTCAGTGGAGGCCGATCTGAAAAAAAAAATCTTTTATTGGAGAATCAGGCTCTCTTGGGCCTTGTACCATCTGCTGCTATGGAACTGGTTATCCCTTATGGAAAAGGAGCTATGAAAAGACTGTTTGACCCTATAAAGCAGCCAGTGCTCCCTCCTGTGCTACCTAGAGATCTTGGAGTGTCTTTTATTCCTGTTGGAAGACTTTGCCATTACCTTGTCCATTGACTTACCAAGAAACTCTTGTATTTTCCTGCATGTCATAGTTCCATGTATAGAGCTGTATACACCTGCAAGATACCATGTGGTAACTGGCTACTCTCTACAAAAAGCAAAGTGTCTGTGGATGCATCTATTGCAGAGAGGGGCTGAGGTGCCAGGGGCAGGTTCTCACCAGAAGACTTACCAGCTAGCCTGCCTGCAGAGCTAAAGGCTTGAAGAGCTTAAAATGTTTCTCTGCCTGCTTGGCCATATGCCTGAGTGAGTGAGCTGGAGGGTTGTGCTTTGTGGCTGCCTGTTATTCAAACAGGCAGCTCCCACTGGCGTGTGTCTGTCCAAAAACTGGCCAATGGGATTGTGCTGGGGGCAGGAGCAGCGTCTGAATCTTTCCCCCTTCCCTCCAGACTCAGAGAAAGTGCCCTGCAGCCACATTTCTGAGCGGCATGCGGGGCAAGCAGGGGAGCCTGCGTGGGGCTCCTCACTGCCTCTCTGGGCCGGATCTGGTGGTTTGGTGGGCTGGAGCCAGCTCGCGGGCCATATTTTGCCCAGGCCTGATCGAATGCATGAGACGCTAAATAATTGTGTTTGAGTGATCTCAGTCTGTGGCTTGTCTTAGCCAGTACCAGATCCACTCTGCAAATTGCATGCAAATTGATGCCAATGATGAACTTAGGGGCTGGCAATGTGGAATCAGTTTCCTCCGAGGAATGAGTGTCCCCATCCTGCCTGTAGAGTCCTTGGTAAGGAAATCTTCATTAGGAATTGCTGTTTCCTCAGGAAGGATAAGGTGCCTCTGGTAAGGTGACCACATCGGAGTTGCATCAGTGAACACTGTAGATCTTTTATAGCCTGCCTACTGCAGCATTCCCGCTACTGAGAGATTCCCACTATGATCAGATGACATCTGCCAGAGCCAAGTGGAAGAACTGTAAAAGTCAGAGCCTGACAAAGTATTTCTTTGTCTTGTTCCCATTTCGTGCCTGCCTTCTCTCCAGAGCAAGGTCTCGAAGTAGTCTGAGGCAGAAAAGAATCAAAGGCACACCAGAAGATGTGCAGGTTAAACTGAGTCAGTGTGGAAAGAGGACTAACAGTTATTCAGTTAAGTTTGGCTTTTCTGGGGAGGGAAGTGGAGAGCGTTATACGTGGAAACTTCAGTACTTGGAATGGGTGGAATTTGCAGATTAGGAAGATGGATTCATGGTGAATTATTTTTTTATTTAGCCATAAGGTCTTGGGTAGCACCTTTGAACTCAGATTTTCCTGAAATTATAACAAGGAAAAAGGGACTGACTCAGATGGTGAAGGCCTACAAATTTTTGTTGGAGGCATAAGCATTTTTCCCCATAGAGCATGGCACTTCACAGTGGGCCCACTGTGGAGCTATTAAAGGGAGAAGGAAACAGTTCTAATATGCAGCCAGTGATATGTTAGGGGATCCCTCCAGGTGTCAGACTTGTCCATTTC